GTGCCGCTCGCACCAAAGGAGCTGACTCAGCTCTGCGCAACCGGTCTGTTCGAAAGTAGCTATTGAATCAAAATAACATCCTAAACTGGCATATAAAAACGAGATCTCTTCAAAAGCGAAGCCAAGTGCGGATTGAACACATGGAGCTAACAATTTGGTGCATCCAAGGTGGTCTCCAACGAAGTTGAAACTAATGACATGATTCCTCCTCCAGATGCGGCAGACTCTAGATGGCCCATATTTCCCTTGAGAGACGAGCTCTATACGGCCGCAACTGCAGGAAAACTACCGATGGCGGCGCCAACTTCGATTGGGTCCCCGAGGGCCGTGCCCGTACCGTGCGCCTCCAACGGAATCGTCAATCCAGTCATTTTGTCAGGCGATTGCACCGATTGAATTAAGCGGCGCTGCGCCGAACCATTCGGTGCGGAGAGACTCGCGCTTGGGCCGTCACATTACACGGCCGTTGCGATCACGGACCGCCCCGGTATTTATCTCGAGTTCAATGCCGTGGTCAGCAGAATGGATACGCAGCTCTCCCCCCGCGCATATCCATCTGCGCGGATGTCAAAGGTGTGACATCATCCTAGTAGCGAAAGCATTCCACTTTTGGCAAACCCAAAACTCCACGCGTGACCCAGCAACCCTACACCCAACGCTAGCCCATCACCACAGGCGTGGTGTCCGATTTCGGCTCTGGCCAGATGAACCGCTACTAGCTAGGTCGAGCACGCCGTGTCCAGCGTGAGACAGGCGCCGTTCAGACCAAAGGTGAAAGAGACCAGCCCAGACGAGACATTGGCATGCGTAGGTGCATACTCGGAGTTTGAACTCACGACGCCCTCGACGGGTTGCGTGAGCATACCTACGTAGACTGCCACATCAATACCTGTAGATGACCTCGGTCGTAACTCCAGGCAAGTTCGCGAGCATTATAACAGTAGTAGATTCTAGGGGTCTTGGTTACAAACGAAGTGTTGCGACATCTTGAATGAGCGACCATCATCAACGAGGGCACCGACTAGCATAAATGAGCCGTAACTCGCAGAAACATTCTTGAAAAGCTAGGCAGCATCCCAGCGCGCGTAGGGAACATGGGCTGGAGTTGTCGTTGCAGTAAATTGAAGCTCACGCAAGCCTTCAATATCGTCAATCGCTGCTGGCATCTCAAAGCAACAGTAGTCGAGCCATATTGACGTCGAAGACCACAACGCCACGATTGTTTCTACATGGTGGCGGGGCGATGTTGAACGCAGCGAATGGCTTTATTTAGCCAAGAACTCTGCGATGCTCTAGAGCGTTGGGTAGTCGAAGACTAGCGTCGCGGGAAATTCAGTGGAGTACCGCTCGGAGACGGCTTGAACAAACTAGGTTCCAGCCAACGAGTCCAACCCAGCGGCCATGAGCGGCTCATCTGATGAGACCGCGGTGCCGAGGAGCTCTAGAGCAGACGCCACAAGAGCATAGATGATGTCCCCAACGTCCGTTTCTGACGAGGTCTTCGATTCTACAGGACTCTCTTCCTGGATCGACTTCACTACCCAGCGCTGAAGTCGTAGCGCGGTGGGGCTGTTGCCGAAGCTTGCGATATTGCCAATCTCAAGAGAATTGTCAAGCCACTCGGATGCGATTTTTCCTGCGAGTCCTATGAACGGGTTCGTGAGTTTTGCATGACGCGCCTAACAAAATCACGCTTCACAGAGGGCGGAGAGATGAGACCACTCGTGCACATTTTCTGCTTGAAAGCGCGGTGNGCAAAAATCAATGATGGAAATTCAGACT